CTCAAAGAACCCATATTCACCTCAAAAACCCCCAAATTCACCTCAAAAAACCCCAAATTCACCTCAGAATCACCCCAAATCACCTCAGACACCCCCAAATCCACCTCCACGAGGTCCAACACCCCCGTTTCCCTCAGCCCACCCCCATTTACCTCAGGTTTCCCCCCCATAACCCCCAAACAGACCCAGACCCCCCCATTTTTTTACCTCAGATCACCCCAAAAGGCCCCAAACCCCCTTCCATTACCTCAGCACTGGCCCCCCCACACCCCCATAAGCGACCGAGCCCCACATTGACCCCCACAATGCACTCCAATGGAGCCGACCCCCCCCTTTCACCTCACCGCTGTGTGTGTTTGTCCGTGTCCCCCCCCCCCCCAAGGCCTCGGCCCGTCGTCCCCCCCCCCCGCCCCCCCCCCTCCCCCCCATATCCCCGTTACCTGCGGCGGGGCCCGGTTCTGAGGCGGGGGGGGGGGGCGTTGGAAGGGGAAGGGAAGCGGCGGGTCCCGGCCCCAGCCCCGGTCCCGGCCCCGCGGTCGGTGTCGGCTCCGCTGAGCTCCGGCCTCGCTCAAACAAAGGACCCAGCGCCGCGCGCCCCGCCCGCCCCACGCCCCGCCCACCGCCCGTCTGGGCACGCCCCCACGACCACGCCTCCTTATATACCACCGATGAAGCCACGCCCACCGCCCCGCTTGGCCACGCCTCCAAGCGACGCCCACCGCGCCGTGGGCACGCCCCCCCGAACACCCCCGCCCCCCCCCACCTCCCGGCCGCGCGCACGCCATGTGAGGAGGGAGGAGGGCGCCCCCTGGTGGTTGGGAGGAGTGGAGGGGGTGGGATGGGGATGGGATGGGATGGGATGGGGATGGGATGGGGTGGGGATGGGATGGGATGGATGGGGAATAGGATGGGGTGGGATGGGATGGGGAGGGATGGGGATGGGATGGGGATGGATGGGGAGGGATGGGGATGGATGGGGTTGAATGGGGATTGATGGGGTTGGATGGGGATGGGATGGGGTTGAATGGGGATGGATGGGGATGGGATGGGGATGGATGGGGATGGGATGGGGATGGATGGGGATGGATGGGGATGGATGGGGATGGGATGGATGGGGATGGGATGGGGATGGGATGGGGATGGGATGGGGATGGATGGGGATGGGATGGGGATGGATGGGGATGGCGATGGGGATGGGATGGATATGGGAATGGGATGGGGATGGTGATGGAATGGGAATGGGGATGGATTGAGGATGGGATGGGATGGGGATGGAGATGGGGATGGGATTGGGAATGGGATGGGATGGGATGGGATGGGATGGAGATGGGGATGGGATGGGATGGGGATGGGGATGGGATGGGGATGGGATGGGGATGGAGATGGGGATGGGATTGGGATGGGGATGGGATGGGATTTGGAATGAGATAGGGATGGGATGAGGATGGGGATGGGATGGGATTGGGAATGGGATGGGGATAGGATGTGATGGGATTGGGAATGGGATGTGATGGGATTTGGAATGGGATTGGGAGTACGATGGGATTTGGAATGGGATGGGGATGGAATTGGGAATGGGAATGGGGATGGAGATGGAGACAGGGACGGGATTGGGATTGGGAATGGGATGGGGATGGGATGGGATTGGGACTGGAAATTGGGAATGAGATGGGAAATGGGACTGAGAATGAGATTGAATTGGGAATGGGAGGGGGAATGGGAAACTGGGGATGGGATTGGGGATGGGATGGGCATAGGAGGTGCAGAATGGGAAATGGGAATGGGAATGGGATGGGATTGAACTGGGAATGGGATGGGGAATGGGAAATTGGGGATGGGATGGGGGATAGGAAGTGAAGAATAGGAAATGGGAATGGGATTGGGATCGGGTTGGAAATGGGCAACTGGAGTGGGGATGGGCATAGGGTTGGGGTGGGATTGGGAATAGTGTGGAGAATGGGACCAGTATAGAGTAATACTGGGTGACACTGGGTAACACTGGGACCGGTATAGGGTGACACTGGGTGACACTACCACCAAGTCAATCCCAGTACAGGGTGACACTAAGACTGGGAGGCACTAGGAGCAGCATGGGACAGCGCTGGTCCCAGTACAGGGTGGCAATGGGTGACACTGGTCCCAGTACAGGCTGTCATTGGGTGACACTGGGTGACACTGGTCCCAGTACAGCCTGACACTGGGACCAGCCGCTCCAATCCCGCCCCTCCACTCCAGCCAATAACAGCCGCCGCAGCCGGGCTCCAGCCAATGAGAACGCAGCAGGGGGGGAGGAGGGAGGGGGGAAGAGGAGAGGGAGGAGGGGGCGTGGCCATATTAAACCCCGCCCCCCCCGGCGGCAGCGCGCGGGACTGCACGTGCGCCCGGAAGCCCCGCCCCCAAATCCCCCTCCCCCGCCGGAAGCCCCGCCCCCTGCGCGTGCCGCGTCCTCCTCTCCCCCCTCCCCAACGCCCCTCCCAGCAACAACCGCGGAGCCGCGCTCCGATTGGCTGCTGAGCTGTGACGTCACGGCAGGGCGCGCCCGTCTGTTACCATGGCAACAAGGGGGGGAGTGGGGGGGGGTTTGAGGCCTTAAAAAGGCGAATTTGGACCCAAAAAGGAAGGGAATGGACCCAAGAATGAAGGTTTTGGCCCCAAATGAAGGGTTAGACCGCGAAAAGGAGGAATCTCACTTGGAAATGAGGGATTTGGGCCCAAAAATGAGGGATTTGGTCCCTAAAATGAGGGATTTTGATCAAAAAATGAGAGATTTGGTTCTAAAAATTGGGCTTTGGAGCCTTAAAAATGAGGTTTTCCCGCAAAGAAAAGAGAGCTTGAACCCCAAAGTGAGGTTTTTGTCCTCAAAATGAGGGGTTAGACCCAAGAAGTGAAGGTTTAGACCTCAAAAATGAGGGCTTTAGACCCAAAAAGGAGGCATTTTAACTCCAAAATGAGGAATTTGGGGTTTCAGCCCTAAAAATGCAGGGGTTTAGCCCAAAAAAGGCGAGGTAAGACCTTAAAATGGGGGGTTTGGACCTAAAACCTTGCTCTAGACCCTCACAATGTGGGTTTTGAGGCAATAAGTGGAGGTTTAGACCCTAAAATGAGGGGGTTTGGGCTCCAAAATGAGGGATTTGGACCCCAAAATGGGGGTTTAGATCCAAAAAAGGGGGTTTAGAGCCCCAAAATGTGGGGTTTTACCTTAAAAAGGGGGAATGGACCCCAAAAATAAGGTTTTAGGCAATAAAACCGAGGGTTGAGATGGCAAAAAGCACATTTTTCCACCTTAAAACGGGGTTTAGAGCCCCTAAATAAGGGGTTGAACCCTGAAAATGAGGGTTTGGACCCAAAAGTGAGGGTTTGGAGCCTAAACCCGCACCTTTTTACCCCAAAATGAGAGTTGAGAGCTTAAAAATTAGGTATTGGGGCCAAAATCGAGGGTTTGGGCCCTAAAAATGGGGGGGTTGGAGCACAAAAATGGGGGTTTGGACCCCCAAAAGGCAGGTTTTGGCCTCAGAATGGACATGGGACCGATGGTATGACATAGGGTGACACGTGTGATCCATTACATGCATGACGTAGCGTGACACATAACGCCTGTGACACGTATGACACACGTGACATGTACCATGGGGCACACGTAACACACGTGCGGGCCCTCCCGCCGCCAGGGGGCGGAGACTGAGGGGGTGGGAGGGGCTTAGAACGAGGGGCGGGGCTTAGAGGGGGCGTGGCCCACGTGAGACCGCCCCATCGCCTTTTATGGCCCCCACGTGGTGACGTCACACACCCCCCCCCCCCCCCCGGTTGCCATGGTGATGGGGAAGCGGTGGGAAACAGCCCCGCCTCCCCCCGGGGTGGGGGGGGCTCTTAAAGGGCAATGAACCCCCTTAGATGGGCTGTATATGGGGTGTATAGGGTGTATATGGGGGTCTGTGGCGTGTATAAGGGGTGTATGGGGAGTGTATGGGGTGTATGGGGTGTGTATGGGGTGCATAAGGGGTGTATATGGGGTGTATGGGGTGTATATGGGGTGCATATGGGGTGCATGTGGTGGTCTGCAGGGTGTATATGGGGTGTATGGGGTGTATATGGGGTGCATATGGGGTGCATGTGGTGGTCTGCAGGGTGTATATGGGGTGTATGGGGTGTGTATGGGGTGTATGTGGGGTGTATATGGGGTGTATGGGGTGTATATGGGATGTATGTGGGGTGTATATGGGGTGTATGGGGTGTATATGGGATGTATGGGGTGTATGTGTGGGTCTGCAGGGTGTATATGGGGTGTATATGGGGTGTATGGGGTGTGTATGGGGTGTATGTGGGGTGTATATGGGGTGTATGGGGTGTATATGGGATGTATGTGGGGTGTATATGGGATGTATGGGGCGTATGTGGGGGTCTGCAGGGTGTATATGGGGTGTATGGGGTGTATGGGGTGTACATGGGATATATGGAGTGTATATGGTGTGTATGTGGGACATACGTGGGGTGTATATGGGGTATATATGGAGTGTATATGGGGTGTATATGTGGTCTATGTGGGGTGTATATAGGATGTATGGGGAGTATATGGTGTGTATGTGGGATGTATGTGGGGTGTATATGGGGTGTATGGTGTGTATATGGGGTGTATCGGTGTGTATGGGGTATATATGGGGTGTATATGGGCTGTATGTGTGGTGCATACTGGGTGTATATGGGGGTATACTGGGTGTATATGTGGGGTATGTGGGGTACAGCCCTGCCCCACACCGCAGGCACAACCAATGACAAGCGGCGACACTCACAATGTCTTTAATACAAAGGGGGGGGGGGGACACCCCCAAAAGCCCCCAACCCCACCCCAAACCCCATCAGTACCCAACAGGGCCCTAACAACACCCCCCAACACCAGCCCTGACCCCCAAACCCCCACCCTGACCCTGTGACACCCCACATTCATCCCCATGACACCCCCCCCAATCACAACCCGCCCCACCGCAACACCCCACATCCTCCATCAGACCCATACGTGAGACCCCAAAACTCACCTGGACCCACACCCCCCCTAAAAACAACCCCCAAACCTACCCCAGACACAACCCATCAGCCCTGGGGGGGTCCCTGTGGGGCTGTAGGTGACGGTGACACAGGCGGTGTCCCCATAGGGCTGACATTCAGTGTCCATGGGGGGGCTCACACGCAGTGGATGTGGGGTGCTCAGTGCTGGCATCACAGTCGGTGTCCCCAAGGGGGTGACAGTCACCAGACACTGCCCTGGTGTCCTCAGTGGGGTGACAATGGGTGTCCCCCATAGGGCGACAATCGGTGCCACAGTCGGTGTGCCCCATAGGGTGACAATGGGTATCCTCGATAGGGTGACAATGGGTGTCCTCAATAGGGTGACAATCGGCATCACAGTCAGTGTCCTCAATAGGGTGACAATGGGTATCCTCAATAGGGTGACAATCGGCATCACAGTCGGTGCCCCCCATAGGGTGACAATGGGTATCCTCAATAGGGTGACAATGGGTGTCCCCCATAGGGTGACAACTGGCATCACAGTCGGTGCCCCCCATAGGGTGACAATGGGTATCCTCCATAAGGTGACAATCGGCTTCACAGTCGGTGCCCCCCATAGGGTGACAATGGGTGTCCTCAATAGGGTGACAATCAGCGTCACAGTCGGTGCCCCCCATAGGGTGACAATGGGTGTCCTCAATAGGGTGACAATCGGCATCACAGTCGGTGCCCCCCATAGGGTGACAATGGGTGTCCTCAATAGGGTGACAATCGGCATCACAGTTGGTGCCCCCCATAGGGTGACAATGGGTATCCTCCATAGGGTGACAATCAGCTTCACAGTCGGTGCCCCCCATAGGGTGACAATGAGTATCCTCAATAGGGTGACAAACAGCGTCACAGTCGGTGCCCCCCATAGGGTGACAACGGGTGTCCCCCATAGGGTGACAATCGGCATCACAGTCGGTGCCCCCCATAGGGTGACAATGGGTGTCCCCCATAGGGTGACAATCGGCATCACAGTCCGTGTCTCCCATAGGGTGACAATGAGTATCCTCAATAGGGTGACAATCAGCCTCACAGTCGGTGTCCCCCATAGGTTGACAATCAGCGTCACAGTCGGTGTTCCCCATAGGGTGACAATTGGTGTCACAGTTGGTGCCCCCCATAGGGCGACAATCGGTGTCACAGTTGGTGTCCCCCATAGGGCGACAATTGGTGTCACAGTCGGTGTGCCCCATAGGGTGACAATGGGTATCCTCCATAGGGTGACAATGGGTGTCCTCCATAGGGTGACAATTGGCATCACAGTCAGTGTCTCCAATAGGGTGACAATGGGTGTCCTCAATAGGGTGACAATCGGCATCACAGTCGGTGCCTCCCATAGGATGACAATCTGCGTCACAGTCGGTGCCCCCCATAGGGTGACAATGGGTGTCCCCCATAGGGTGACAATCGGCATAACAGTCGGTGTCTCCCATAGGGTGACAATGGGTATCCTCAATAGGGTGACAATGGGTATCCTCAATATGGTGACAATCGGCATCACAGTCGGTGCCCCCCATAGGGTGACAATGGGTGTCCCCCATTGGCTGCCACTCGCTGTCCATGGCCGTACCCCAGCCGTTGTCCTCGGGGGGTTCCTGTCCCCACCACCACAGCTGGAGCCGATTGTCCCCCCCCGGGGGGGGCCCTTCCTCCTCCTCCTCCTCCTCCTCGTCACTGCCCCACGGCGCCGGGAACAGCCGCTGCCCCGAGGCCGTGGCCAACAATGGGAGCTCAGGGTGTAAACTGGGGACACACACACACACACATGGGTTGGGGTGATGCCAACACCCCTAGGTACCCCCCAGACCCCCCCACGGCCCCAACAACAGCCTCACAGCAACAGGCGGACACAACAGCCGGCCCCAAAGGGCAGCACTGGGGGGGGTGAGGGTGGTGCTGGGGGGAGATGGGGGTTGGGGTGTTGAGGGAGGGGGTCTAAGGGTGTTGTGAGGGGGGTTGAGGTGTAATGGGGGGGTTTGGGGTGTTGTGGGAGGGATTTACAGTGTGGTGGGAAGGGTTTAGGTGTTGGGGGGGGATATGGGGTGTTGTGGGCAGCTATAGGGGTGTTGTGGGAGAGATTTGGGTTGTTATGGGTGTCTATAGGGGTGCTGTGGGGAGGATTTAGGGTGTTGTGGAGGGATATGGGGTGTTACGGGGGGCTATAGGGGTGCTGTGGGAAGGATTTAGGGTGTTGTGGGGGCCTATAGGGGTGCTATGGGAGGGATGTAGGGCATTGGGGTGTTGTGGTGTACATGGGGTGTTGTTATGGGGGTGTTTTGGTGTACATGGGGTGTTGTTATGGGGATGTCTTGGTGTACATGGGGTGTTGTGGGGAGGATTTGGGGTGTTGTGGGGGTGTTGTGGTGTACATGGGGGTGTTTTGGTGTACATGGGGGTTGTTATGGGGGTGTTTTGGTGTATGTGGGGTGTTGTTATGGGGTGTTGTGGGGGTGTTTCGGTGTACATGGGGGGTTGTTATGGGGGTGTTTCGGTGTACATGGAGAGGTGTTATGGGGTGTTGCAGTGTACATGGGGGGTTGTTATGGGGGTGTTGTGGGGGTGTTTTGGTGTACATGGGGTGTTGTGGGGAGGATTTGGGGTGTTGTGGGGGTGTTGTTATGGGGTGTTGTGGGGTGTTTTGGTGTACATGGGGGGTTGTTATGGGGGTGCTGTGGTGTACATGGGGGGTTATTATGGGCTGTTGCTGTTACCTGGTGCCATTGATGCAGTCCCGCAGGGCCCTGAACCGCAGCACTGGGGGCAGCAAGGGGGGGTCCCCCGGGTCCGGGGGGGTCCCTGCAGTGTCCCATAGGGTGACAAAGCCGCTGGTGTCACCGCTCACCAGGAACCGGCCCGTCCTATGGGGCAGGACACACATAGGGGTCAATGGGGAGATCTATGGGGTGGACCTATAGGGGCAGGACACACATAGGGGTCAATGGGGAGATCTATGGGGCAGACCTATAGGGGTGGGACACACATAGGGGTCAATGCGGAGATCTATGGGGCGGACCTATTTGGGCGGGACACCCATAGGGGTCAATGGGGAGATCTATGGGGCGGACCTATAGGGGCGGGACATACATAGGGGTCAATGGGGAGATCTATGGGGGGGACCTATGGGGGCAAGACACACATAGGGGCCAATGGGGAGATCTATGGGGGGGACCTATAGGGGCGGGACACACATAGGGGTCAATGGGAAGATCTATGGGGCGGACCTATAGGGGCTATGCAGCCCTATAGGGGCTATGGGAGCTATAAAGCCCTATGGGGGGACCCCATTGGGGGGGGTCACATACGGGTCAAGGTCAAAGGTCACGCGCTGGTTGGTGGTCACGTGACGCTCCATGGCCAGCAGGGGGCGCTCCGGCAGCCGCAGGTCCCAGCACAGGATGTGGGTGTCCTGGGGGCGGAGCTTCGCTAAGCCACGCCCCCATTGGCCACACCCCGCCCCCCCATTGATGGGCATGGCCCAATCACGAGGCTTCAACCCCTGGACACACCCCAATATGGAGGCCACGCCCATAAAGAGGCTCCGCCCACTCATTTGAGCTCCTCCCTCTCAAGCCCCGCCCATTATGCACCCCATTGGAAAGCCCTGTAGACCCCTCCCCATTTGACACAACCCCTTAAGCCCCTCCCACCAATCAAACCCCACCCCCATAAGCACCTCCAATCCTTAAACCCCTCCCATTTAAGCTCCTCCCACACCTAAACCACGCCCCTTTTCGCCCCTCCCACCTAAGCCACGCTCCTCTAAACGCCTCCACCAATCAAGCCATGCCCCTTTACACCCCTCCTAACCTTAGCCCCACCTCTTCAGGCCCTCCACCAATCAAACCTCTTCCCACCCTCAAGCCACGCCCCCTTAATTCCCTCCCACATAAGCCACGCCCCGTGAGTCCATCCCCATCAATCCCTCCCCCCAACCACCACCCCTTTAAGCCCCTCCCACCTTCAATCCCCTCCACCAATCAATGTCCACCCCTCTCAGCCCCTCCACCAATCAGAGCCCTCCCCTCCAAGCCCCGCCCACCTTGCGCCCCCCTGCATACAGCCGGTTCCCATCGGGGCTGAAGCGCAGGTGGGTGGGGGCCGCGGGGAGGCGGGGCCAGAGCGCCAAGGCCCCGCCCCCTTCCAGCGCGTACAGCCCCAGGCTCCGCCCATAGGAGCCGCAGGCGAACACCGGTTGGCTGGGGCTCACCGCCAGGCAGCCAATGAGGCCGCTCTGGCCCTGACCGCCCTCTGTGATTGGGCGGGGGGGAGAGCACAGGACACGCCCACTTAAAGCCACGCCCTCTGTAGGCTCCTCCCCTTTTGAGCCCTCCCACTTAAGACCCCACCCACTCTATACCGTCCCTCTTTAAGCCCCTCCCCTTTTGACCCTCTCCATTAAGTCCCGCCTCTTTAAACCACCGCCCATTTAAGCTCCACCCCTTTAAAGCTCCTCCCCTTTAAATGCCGTGCCTTTAAGCTCCACCCCTTTAGACACCACCCACTTTAAGCTCCTCCCCTTAATCCCCACCCCTTTAAGCTCCACCGTTTTAAGCTCCACCCCTTTAAACCCCATCCCTTTAAGCTCCACCCCCTTTTAACCCCATCCCTTTAAGCTCCACCCCTTTAAACCCCATCCCTTTAAGCTCCACCCCCTTTAAACCCCATCCCTTTAAGCCCCACCCCCTTTAAACCCATCCCTTTAAGCTCCACCCCTTTAAACCCCATCCCTTTAAGCTCCACCCCCTTTAAACCCCATCCCTTTAAGCTCCACCCCTTTAAACCCCATCCCTTTAAGCTCCACCCCTTTAAACCCCATCCCTTTAAGCTCCGCCCCCTCGAAGCCCCACCCCTTTAAACCCCACCCCCTTTAAACCCCATCCCTTTAAGCCCCACCCCCTTTAAACCCCATCCCTTTAAGCTCCACCCCTTTAAACCCCATCCCTTTAAGCTCCACCCCTTTAAACCCCATCCCTTTAAGCTCCACCCCTTTAAACCCCATCCCTTTAAACTCCACCCCTTTAAACCCCATCCCTTTAAGCTCCACCCTCGAAGCCCCACCCCTTTAAACCCCACCCCCTTTAAACCCCATCCCTTTAAGCCCCACCCCCTTTAAACCCCATCCCTTTAAGCTCCACCCCCTTTAAACCCCATCCCTTTAAGCTCCACCCCCTTTAAGCTCCGCCCCCATCCCTTTAAGCTCCACCCTTTAAGCTCCACCCCTTTAAACCCCATCCCTTTAAGCCCCACCCCTTTAAACCCCATCCCTTTAAGCTCCACCCCTTTAAACCACATCCCTTTAAGCTCCACCCCTTTAAACCCCATCCCTTCAAGCTCCACCCCTTTAAGCTCCACCCCCTTTAAACCCCATCCCTTCAAGCTCCACCCCTTTAAGCTCCACCCCTTTAAACCCCATCCCTTTAAGCCCCACCCCTTTAAACCCCATCCCTTTAAGCTCCACCCCCCTCAAGCCCCACCCCCTCAAGCCCCGCCCCCTCAAGCCCCGCCCCTCACGCCGCAGCGCCCTCTCCTGGTGGTTCCGCCCCGGCCGCTCCGTTGGGAAGATCCGGACGGAGCCGTCGCAGCCCCCGAGGAGCCGGGAGCCGTCGGGGGTGAAGGTCAGGGAGTGCGGGGCCACCGGCTCCTCCTGCCCCATAGACACACAGAGACCCCATAGAGACACAGGGACCCATAGAGACACATAGGGACACATAGAGACACAGAGAGACCCCATAGAGACACACAGGGACCCATAGAGACACACAGGGACCCATAGAGACACACAGGGACACATAGAGACACATAGGGACCCCATAGAGACACACAGAGACCCCATAGAGACACACAGGGACCCATAGAGAGACATAGGGAACCATAGAGACACATAAAGACACATAGGGAACACATAGAGACACACATAGACACATAGAGACCCCATAGAGAGACATAGAGACCCATAGGGAACATAGGGACCCAGAGGGACCCATAGAGAGCCATAGACACTATAGCCAACACAGGGACCCAGGGGGACACATAGTGACCAATAGAGAGCCATAGGGGACACAGGGACCCATAGAGACCCATAGGGAACATAGGGAACATAGGGACCCATAGAGAGCAATAGGGAACATAGGGACCCATAGGGAACACAGGGACCCATAAGGAACATAGGGACCCATAGAGAGCCACAGGGAACACAGGGACCCATAGAGAGCCATAAGGAACATAGGGACCCATAGAGAGCCATAGGGAACACAGGGACCCAGAGGGACCCATAGAAAACACAGGGACCCATAGAGAGCCATAAGGAACATAGGGACCCATAGAGAGCAATAGGGACCCATAGAGAGCCATAGAAAACACAGGGACCCAGAGGGACCCATAGCAAACACAGGGACCCATAGAGAGCAATAGGGACCCATAGAGAGCCATATGGAATCATAGGGAACATAGGGAACCATAGGGACTCCATAGACACTCGAGACTCCATAGAGACCCCATAGAGAACCCATAGAGACCCCATGGGGAACATAGAGACTCCATAGAGACCATAGGGAACATAGAGACCCATAGAGATCCCATAGACACCCCATAGAGACCTGCAGAGATCCTATAGACACCCCATAGAGACCCATAGGGACCCATAGAAATCGACAGAGCCTCACAGTGACCCATAGACATGGGTGGTGGAGCTCTGGGGGGTCTCTATGGGGTCACTATGGGGCACTTGGGGGACTCTATGGGTTTCTATGGGGTCACTATGGGTCTCCATGGGGTCACTATGGGGCTCTATGGGGTTGCTATGGGTCTCTATGGGTCTCTATGGGTCGCTATGGGGCTTTATGGGGTCGCTATGGGTCTCTATGGGTCGCTATGGGGCTCACCAGGTGGTTGTAGGCGCGGAAGGAGCCCCTCAGGGTCCCATCGAAGGCGTCCCAGAGGTGGACGGGGTTGTCCCGGCTGCTGGAGGCCACCCTGCCCAGTACAGACCAGTATGGACCAGTATGGACCAGTACAGAACAGTACTGACCAGTACGGACCAGTATGGACCAATACAGACCAGTACAGAACAGTACTGACCAGTATGGACCATTACGGACCAATACAGACCAGTATGGACCAGTATGGAGCAGTACAGAACAGTACTGACCAGTACGGACCAGTATAGCCCAGTACAGACCAGTATGGACCAGTATGGACCAGTATGGACCCCCATTGCCCCCCATAGCCCCCCATTACCCCCAAAGCACCCATAGCACGCCCCATAGCCCCTCATTACCCCCATTGCCCCCATTACCCCCACTGCCCCTATTGCCCCATAGCCCCCATTACCCCCATTGCCCCCATTACCCCCATTACCCCCCATTACCCCCATAGCCCCCATTACCCCCATAGGCCCATAAGCCCCCATTACCATCCCCATAGCCCCCATCACCCCCATCACCTCAGTTACCCCCATTAGCCCCCATTACCCCATCCCCCCATTCCCCCATTACCCCCCATAGCCCCCATTGCCCCATACACCCATTACCCCATTACCATCCCCCATTGCCCCCATAGCCCCCATACCCCCCATTACCCCATAGCCCCCCATAGCCCCCATCACCCACAGGCAGGTCTGGGGCTCCCTGGAGTCCATGAGTGGGAACCAGGCGTAGTCGTAGATGGTGTCACCCTCGGGCACCCGCAGCGCCGGCTCCTGCACCCACCCATAGAGACCCATAGGGACCCATAGGGACCCATAGAGACACATAGAGACCATAGGGACCCATAGAGACCCATAGGGACCCATAGGTACCCATAGAGCCCATAGAGACCCATAGAGACCATAGGGACCCCAATACACACAATAGGCACCCAATAAACCCCATAGGGATCCCACACACCCCATAGGGACCAATAGACACCATAGGGACCCCAATAAACCCCATAGGGGCCCAATACATCCCATAGGGACCCAATACACCCCATAGAGACCCCAATACACCCTATAGAGACCCTAATACACCCCATAGGCACCCAATAGACCCCATAGGGACCCCATAGAGACCCCACAGAGACCCCACAGGGACCTCATAGGAGCCCCATAGAGACCCCCCAGAGACCCCATAGGGACCTCACAGGAGCCCCCTAGAGACCCCCTAGAGACCCCCTAGAGATCCCAATACACCCCATAGGGACCTCATAGGAGCCCCATAGAGAACCCATACAGACCCCCTAGAGACCCCATAGGGACCTCATAGGAGCCCCCTAGAGACCCCATACACCCCATAAAGACCCCAATACACCCTATAGAGACCCTAATACACCCCATAGGCACCCCATAGGCCCCATAGGGACCCCATAGAGACCCCCTAGAGACCCCATAGGGACCTCATAGGAGCCCCATAGAGACCCCATACAGACCCCATACAGACCCCATAGGGACCTCATAGGAGCCCCCTAGAGACCCCATAGAGACCGCATAGGAGCCCCCTAGAGACCCCATACACCCCATAGAGACCCCAATACACCCCATAGGGACCCCATAGGAGCCCCATAGGGACCCCATAGAGACCCCATACACCCCATAGAGACCCCATACACCCCATAGAGACCCCATAGGGACCCCAATACACCCCATAGGGACCCCATAGACCCCATAGGAGCCCCATAGGGACCCTATAGAGACCCCAATACACCCCATAGAGACCCCAATACACCCTATAGAGACCACAATACACCCCATAGGCATCCCATAGACTCCATAGAGACCCCATAGACCCCCCATAGACCCCATAGAGACCCCATAGACCCCATAGAGACCCCATAGACCCCATAGACCCCACAGACCCCCATAGAGCCCCCATAGAGCCCCCTTACCCACCAGCTGGGGGAGGGGCTGCCCGGCGGGGGGGGGCGGGAGGTCGAACAGGCGCAGGGTGTTGTCAGCGCTGCAGCTCAGCACACAGGAGCCATCGGGGGCCCTGCCGGCACCCATAGGGACCATAGGGACCATAGGGATACATAGGGACCCATAGGGACCCATAGGGACCATAGGGACACATAGGGACCCATAGGGACCATAGGGATACATAGGGACCCATAGGGACCATAGGGACCATAGGGATACATAGGGACCCATAGGGACCATAGGGACCATAGGGACACATAGGGACCCATAGAGACCCATAGGGACCCATAGAGACACATACAGACCCATAGGGACCATAGGGACCCATAGAGACTCATAGGGACCCATAGGGACCCATAGAGACACATAGAGACACATAGAGACACATAGGGACCCATAGAGACACATAGAGACCATAGGGACCATAGGGACCCATAGGGACCCATAGAGACACATAGAGACACATAGGGACCCATAGGCACCCATAGAGACACATAGGGACCATAGGGACCATAGGGACCCATAGGGACCCATAGAGACACATAGAGACACATAGAGACACATAAAGACACATAGAGACATATAGAGACCCATAGAAACCCATAGGGACCCATGGGGACCCATAGAGCCCATAGGGACCCATAGAGCCCATAGGGACCCATAGCGACCCATAGAGCCCATAAGGACCCATAGAGCCCATAGGGACCCATAGCGACCCATAGAGCCCATAGTGACCCATAGGGACCCATAGTGACCCATAGAGCCCATAGGGACCCATAGGGACCCATAGAGCCCATAGGGACCCATAGAGCCCATAGTGACCCATAGCGACCCATAGAGCCCATAGAGATCCATAGCGACCCATAGAGCCCACAGGGACCCATAGCGACCCATAGGGACCCATAGAGACCTTAGGGACCCATAGGGACCCATAGCGACCCATAGGGACCCATAGCGACCCATAGAGCCCATAGCCAGCCATCTGTGGGTGGGGGAGGGGTCGGGGGGGGAGGGGGTGTGGTCAATAGAGGTGGGGGAGGGGTCAGAGGAGGGTGGGGGAGGGGTGGTGTCAATCGGGGTGGGGGAGGGGATGGGGAGGGCTCTGGGTAGAGGAGGGGTCAATGGAGGTGGGTGAGGGGATGGGGGAGATGCAGGGTGGGGGAGGGGGTGGGGTCAATTGGGATGGGGGAGGGGACTATGGAGGTGGGGGAGGGGGTGGGGGAGGGACTTGGGTGGGGAAGGGCTCAGGGTGGGGCTGGGGGGGAGGGGTTGGGAGAGGGCTGGGGAAGGGGCAGTGGGGGGGAGGGGCGGTGGGTGGGGGCGGGGCTGTGGATTGGGGAGGGGCTGTGGGGGGGAGGGGCTGGGGGGGCACGGTGGGTGGGGGAGGGGCGGTGGGTGGGGGAGGGGCTGTGCATGAGGGAGGGGCTGGATGGTAGTGGGTGGGGAGGGGCAGGCGGGGGGGGAGGGGCGGTGCGGGGGGAGTGGAGTGGTTGGGGGAGGGGCAGCGGGTGGGGGAGGGTCTTGCTCACCAGGTGCAGCCCCGCAGGAAGTTGTGGGGGCGGAGCCGGAACTCGTCCTGAGCCCCTCCCACGGGGCGGGGGGGGCGGCCCAGAGCGAGGGGGGGGAGCCTGGCGGGGGAGGGGCAGAGGGGTCAGGGACCCACAGGAGACCCCATAGAGACCCATGGAGAACCCCATAGAGAGCCATTGAGAACCCCATAGAGAGCCATTGAGAACCCCTTAGAGACCCCATAGAGAGCCCATATACCCCATAGAGAGCCCATTAAGAACCCCATATACACCCCATAGAGAGCCCCTATACCCCATAGAGAACCCATTGAGAACCCCATGTACACCCCATATAGAGCCCATACACCCCCATAGAGACCCCTAGGGACCCCATACACTCCATAGGAAGCCCATAGAACCCCATAGAGAGCCCATATAGACCCCAGATACACCAGAGACCCCATACACCCCACAGGACCCCAATATACACCCAGCAGAGACCCCAAATACCCCATAGAGACCCTATACACCACATAAAGCACCCCATACACCTGCATAGAGACCCCAAATATCCCATAGAGATCCCATATACCCCACAGGACCCCCACAGAGACCCCATACACCCCATAGTGACCCCAATACACCCCATAGACCCCCCATAGAGACCCCAAATACCCCATAGAGACCCCATACACCCCATAGTGACCTCAATACACCCCATAGAGACCCCATGGAGACCCCATAGACCTCCCATAGAGACCCCATACACCCCATAGTGACCTCAATACACCCCATAGACCCCCCATAGAGACCCCAATATACCCCATAGACCCCCCCATAGAGACCCCAATACACCCCATAGAGACCCCATAGTGACCTCAATACACCCCATAGACCCCATATGAACCCCATAGAGACCACATACACCCCATAGGACCCCAATGCACCCCATAGGACCCCAGAGACCCCAAGCGCCCCCCCCCCCGCTCACCCCATTGGCTCCTCCGCTGCGTCGTGAGTGGTCTCAGAGGGGGGCGGGGCTAAGGGGGGGGCGGAGCGAGGTCAGCGCGGGGTCAGTGCCCCCCTCCCCCCATGGCGCCCCCCTTCCCCCCCACCCATACGCACCTCTCTCCATGGGCGCCGCCATGACAGCGTGGCCACGCCCCTTCCCGGCGTGCAGCCTGCGGGAGGGCGGGAGAAGGGGGCGTGGCCACGGGGGGGAGGTGGCGCGAAAACGGCGCTTTCCCGCCATAGGGGGCAATGGGGGGGTTATGGGGCAATGGGAGTTATGGGGCAATGGGGGGGCAATGGGGGTTTATGGGGCAATGGGGGGTTATGGGGCAATGGGGGGGTTATGGGGCAATGGGGAGGTTGTGGGGCAATGGGGGGTAATGGGGCAATGGGGGGTTATGGGGCAATGGGGTGCTTGTGGGGCAATGGGGGGTTATGGGGCAATGGGGGAGTTATGGGGCAATGGGGGGGTTATGGGGCAATGGGTGACCTCCTCCTGCACCATAGAGCCCTGAACCCCCCCCCCCCATAGCATCCACAGAGAGCTGAGAACCAATGGAGCCTTTATTCCATGTGGGGCGGGTACCCCATAGCGGGGCACAGTGCCCCATGGGTTGTCATAGTGCGCCATGGGGGGGGTTCAAGGCACCCCATAACAAGTCATGGTGCCCCATAGGGTGCCACTGTGACCCATAGGGTGTCATTGTGCACCATGGAGGGGGTTCAGGGCACCCCATAGAGTGTCACTGTGCCCCATGGGGGGGGTTCAGGGCACCCTATAACAAGTCATGATGCCCCATAGGGTGCATTGTGCCCCCAGGGTATCACTGTGCCCCATAGGGTGCCATAGATCCCCATAGGGTATCACTATGACCCATAGGGTATCACTGCCCCATAGGGTGCCATAGTTCCCCATAGAGTGCCATAGCTCCCCATAGGGTGCTACGGCTCCCCATAGGGTGCATTGTGCCCCATAGGGTATCACTGCCCCATAGGGTGCCATGGTTCCCCATAGAGTACCATAGTTCCTCATAGGGTGCCATGGCTCCCCATAGGATATCATTCTGCCCCATAGGGTGCATTGTGTCCCATAGGCTATCACTGTGCCCCATAGGGTGCCATGGCTCCCCATAGGCTATCACTGTGCCCCATAGGGTATCACTGTGCCCCATAGGGTGCCATAGTTCCCCATAGGCTATCACTGTGCCCCATAGGGTGCCATAGTTCCCCATAGGCTATCACTGTGCCCCATAGGGTGCCATAGTTCCCCATAGGGTATCACTGTGCCCCATAGGGTGCCATAGCTCCCCATAGGGTATCATTGTGCCCCATAGGGTATCACTGTGCCCCATAGGGTGCAGTGTGCCCCATAGGGTATCACTGTGCCCCATAGGCTATCACTGTGCCCCATAGGGCTCCGCGGCTCCCCCTGGGGCGCGCTGTCCTCCGCAGGGTACCGCCGGGCCAGCAGGGGGCGCTGTGAGCTCAGGCGGGGCGCGGCGCGAAGAAGGGCAGGCCCCGGATGAAGGCGTCGAGGCGGGCCCGGAAGAGCTCACTCTGCACCGGGGCGCGGGGGGGGCACAGCGGGTTCTTCACCACCAGCTCCACGAACAGCTGCGGGGGGAGACCAGGGCGACACAGAGGGACCATAGAGAGACACATAGAGAGACCATAGAGACCCCATAGAGACACACAGAGACCCCATAGAGACACACAGAGACCCCATAGAGACACATAGGGACACATAGGGACATAGAGAGATACATAGGGACACATAGGGACCATAGAGAGACCATAGAGAGACCATAGAGACACACAGAGACACATGGGGACCCATAGAGACACATAGAGACCATAGAGACATATAGAAACCATAGAGAGACCCATAGGGACACATAGAGACACATAGAGAACCCATAGAACCCCATAGAGACCCATAGGCACACAGGGACCATAGAGACACACAGGCACCCATAGGGACATATAGAGACATATAGAGACCCACAGGGACCCATAGAGAGACATAGGGACGCATAGGGACCCATAGAGACCATAGAGACCCATAGAGACCATAGAGTCCCATAGAGATTATAGAGAAACCATAGAGTCCCATAGAGACCCCATAGAGAAACCACAGACACCCCGCAGAGACCCCATAGAGACCCATAGAGAGCCATAGGGACCATAGAGAAACCACAGAGACCCATAGAGACCATAGAGAAACCATAGACACCCCACAGAGACCACAGAGACCCCATAGAGACTGTAGAGACCCATAGAGACCCCATGGAGACCCAGAGACCATGGACTGACCCATAGTGACCCCATAGAGACCCCATAGAGCACATGCACCAACCATTGAGACCCAAAGAGAACATGGGCTGACCCATAGAGACCCATAGAGACCCCCATAGCACCCACGGAGCCCAGCGTAGACACCCATGGAGACCCCATAGCACCCACAGCCCCCCCATAGCACCCAGATGGGGGGGGGGTGTGGGGGGTTCAGGTTTCTGCTGCTTTGGGGCCATTGTGGGCGTTTTGGGGCCATTTCGGGTGGTTTTCGGTCCGTTTGGGGTGGTTTGGGGTCAGTTTTGGGTCTGTTTCAGGTGTTTTGGGGACTATTTTAGGTGTTTTGGGGTCTATTTCAGGTGGTTTTGGGTCAGTTTCAGGGGTTTTGGGTCAGTTTCAAGTGTTTTAGGGTCTATTTCAGGTGTTTTGGGCCTGTTTGGGATGAATTTGGGTTCGTTTCAGGTGTTTTGGGGTCAGTTTCAGGTGGTTTTGGGTCATTTTCGGGTGTTTTGGGTCAGTTTCAGGTGGTTTTGAGACCGTTTGGGGTGTTTTGGGGTCATTTTCGGGTGTTTTGGGTCAGTTTCAGGTGTTTTGGGCACTCACGTTGCTGTAGATTTGCTGCAGGGCCTTGCGGGCGCTGTTTACGCCTGGTTTTGGGGCCATTTTGGGTCCGTTTGGGGTGTTTCTGGGTCCGTTTCAGGGTTTTTTTGGGTCCGACTGGGGTGGTTTTGGGCCCATTTTGGGTGTTTTGGGGCCTGTTTGGGGTGTTTTTGGGTCTGTTTGGGGTGGTTTTAGGTCCTTTTTAGGTGTTTTGGGGGTGTTTTTGGGTCCGTTTGGGGTGTTTTTAGGTCTGTTTGGGGTGGTTTTGGGTCCGTTTGGGTGTTTTGGGGCCCGTTTGGGGTGGTTTTGGGGTGTTTATAGGTCCGTTTGGGATGTTTTTGGGTCCATTTGGGGTGGTTTTAGGTCAGTTTTGGGTGTTTTGGGGTCTGTTTCAGGTGGTTTTGGGTCCGTTTTGGGTGTTTTTGGGTCAGTTTTGGGTGTTTTTGGGTCAGTTTCAGGTGTTTTTGGGTCCATTTGTCACTCATGTTGCTGTAGATGTGCTGCAGGGCCTCGCGGGCACTGTTTATGCCTGGTTTTGGGTCCGTTTGGGTGTTTTGGGGTGTTTTTAGGTCCATTTGGGGTGGTTTTGGGTGCATTTGGGGTGGTTTTAGGTCCATTTCGGGGTGTTTTGGGTCCGTTTAGGGTGTTTTTGGGTCTGTTTTGGGTGGTTTTGGGTCAGTTTCGGGTGTTTTTGGGTGATTTTGGGGTGTTTTTGGGTGTTTTGGTCACTCACGTTGCTGTAGATGTGCTGCAGGGCCTCGTGGGCGCTGTTTATGCCTGGTTTGGGGCCGTTTGGGGTGTTTTTATGTCAGTTTCGGGTGTTTTGGGGTCTGTTTGGGGTGTTTTTGGGTGGTTTTGGGGTGGTTTTGGGGTGTTTTGGGGTCCGTTTGGGGTGGTTTTGGGTGTTTTTGGGTGGTTTTGGGGTGTTTCTGTGTGTTTTGGTCACTCACGTTGCTGTAGATGTGCTGCAGGGCCTCGCGGGCGCTGCTCACGCCCAGGTCCGTGTTGAGCACCAGGCGCAGCCCGCTCGGGGTCTCGTAGTAATGGAGCCGGTACCGGGAGGTGTGGAAGGACAGGAACCCGTCCCGCCTGCACGCTCAGGCACATAGCGACCCATAGAGACCCCATAGGGACCCACAGCGACCCATAGCGACCCACAGAGACCCATAGAGACCCCATAGAGACCCCACAGAGACCCACAGAGACCCATAGAGACCCAGAGGGATCCCATACAGACCCCTTGATACCCCATAGAGACCCATAGGGACCCAGAGCGACCTCATAGAGACCCCATAAAGACCCCATAGAGACCCACAGAGACCCATAGGGACCCCATAGAGACCCACAGGGACCACATAGAGACCCATAGATACCCCACAGACACCCAGAGGGACCCCATACAGACCCATTGATACCCCATAGAGACCCATAGAGCCCCCATAAGGACCCATAAACCCCATAGAGACCTCATAGAGAACCCATGGAGAACACATAGAGCCCCATAGCGACCCACAAAGAACCATAGAGACCCATAGGGACCCCATAGAGATCCCATAGAGACCCCATAGAGAACCCACAGAGACCCATAGGGACCCCATAGAGACCATAGGGACCCACAGCAACCCACAGAGACCATGGAGACCCCATACAGACCCCACAGAGACCCCACAGACCCCCATAGGGACCCCATACAGACCTATAGAGACCCATAGACAGACCCATAAAGACTCCATAACGACCCATACACCCTATGGAGACCTATAGATACCCCATAGAAACCCCACAGACACCCATAGGGACCCCATACAGACCTATAGAGACCCATAGACAGACCCATAAAGACCCATACACCCTATAGAGACCTATAGATACCCCACAGAGCCCCATAGAGACCCCACAGAGCCCCATAGGGACCCCATACAGACCTATAGAGACCCATAGACAGACCCATAAAGACTCCATAAGGACCCATACACCCTATGGAGACCTATAGATACCCCACAGAGACCTCACAGAGCCCCATAGAAACCCCCCAGACACCCATAGGGACCCCATACAGACCTATAGAGACCCATAGACAGACCCATAAAGACCCCATAAGGACCCATACACCCTATAGAGACCTATAGATACCTCATAGAGACCCCTAGAGACCCCATACACACCATAGGGACCCACAGAGACCCCACGGGGACTCATAGGGACCCCATACAGACCCCATAGAATCCCACAGAGAACCCATACAGACCCCATAAGGACCCATACACCCTATGGAGACCAATAGAGACCCCATAGAGACCTATAGAGACCCCATAGAGCCCCATAGAGACCCCACAGATACCCATAGGGACACCATACAGACCTATAGAGACCCACAGAGAACCCATACAGACCCCATAAGGACCCATACACCCTATGGAGACCAATAGAGACCCCATAGAGACCTATAGAGACCACATAGAGACCCCACAGACACCCATAGGGACCCCATACAGACCCCATAGAATCCCACAGAGAACCCATACAGACCCCATAAGGACCCACACACCCTATGGAGACCGATAGAGACCCCACAGACACCCATAGGGACCCCATACAGACCCCATAGAATCCCAGAGAGAACCCATACAGACCCCATAAGGACCCATACACCCTATAGAGACCCATAGAGATGCACAGCAATCCCATAGAGACCTCCCTTACCCCAGGTCTTATCCCCCATATCCCACCCCGGAGCTCCCCCATTGGGCTTTATGGGGTCTCCCCAGTACATTGGGACCCCCAAGAGCTATGGGGCAGCCCCACATCCCCTATGGGGCACCCCATAAGGCGAGAGGATACATGTCTGTGGGGCTCATCTTGCTCACGAAGGATCGGAGGGAGAAAAGCATCCCGAACATGAGCTTGAATTCCTGGGATATAGATATAGGGTATGGATATATCTGGGATATAGATATAGGGCTATAGATATAGATATGGGGGATGGGATATGGGGTGTGGGGTATGGGGTATGGGAAATGGGGTAAGGGGTATGGGATATGGAGTATGGGGTGTGGGGTATGGGATATGGGGTATAGGATATGGGGTATGGGGTATGGAATATGGGGTATGGGATGTATGGGATATGGGGTATGGGATATGGGGTAAGGGGTATGGGATATAAGGTATAGGATATGGGGTATGGGATATATGGGATATGGGATATATGGGATATGGGGTATGGGATATGGGGTGTGGCATATGGGGTATGGGATATGGGGTAAGGGGTATGGGATATAGGGTATAGGATATGGGGTATTGGGTATGGGATATATGGGATATGGGGTAAGGGGTATGGAATATAGGGTATAGGATATGAGGTATGGGGTATGGAGATAAGGGGTATGGGATATGGGGTATGGGGTAAAGGGTATGGGATATGGGGTATGGAATATGGGGTATGGGATATATGGGGCCATAATGAACCCCCATAGCCCATCTCTTACCCCCAATACCCCACTTTCACCCCCATAAGCCCCTTTAACCCCCTTCTCCCCCCCGCAGCCCCGCTCCAGCCCCACACATCCCCCCATAGCCCCCCCCCATTCCCCACCTCCTCCTTGGGGATCCCGGCCTGCCGCCGCCGGTGCCATTCACTGTAGTGCAGGCACGTCCCGCTCCGGTCGAAGATGTACAGGTTGTGAATGGTCATCTGGGGGGGCGAGACGGGAGGGGGACCCTATGGGACCCCATTGCTGCCCCATAGCAGCCCCATAGCCGTCCCATAGGCCCCCATTGGCTCCCCATTGCCTCACCTCAGGCTGCTGCCGCTTCCGCCCTCATCCAAGATGGCGGCAGCAGGAGGGAAGGGCGTGACCATGGCAACGGAAGGGGGCGTGGCCAAGGGGACGTAAGGGGCGTGGTCAGCGACGTGATTACGGAAACGAAGGGGGCGTTGCCTGTGGGAGGGGGCGGGGCCACAACCGTGATTGACGGGAGGGGTCGCGGCGCCGTTTTGGGGTGGAAAAGGGAGGTTTTGGGGTCCCGATGGCCCCCCCGTGTCCCATAGCCCTCCATAGAGCATCACGCCAGCACCCACAGACCCCCAGAGCACCCCATGTGCCCCCATGGTTGTGTCCTCCCGCACCCCCCATGTCCCCATAGCCCCCCATGTCCCCCAGAGCACCCCATAGCCCCCCATGTCCCCAATAGCACCCCATAGCCCCCATAGCCCCCCATGTCCCCAGTAGCACCTCATAGCCCCCAATATCCCCCAATGTCACACATAGGTCCCCATGTCCCCCCCATAGCCCCACGTCCCCATAGCCCCCCATGTCACCAATAGCACCCCATAGCCCCGAATAACTCCCCATAGCGCCCCATGTCCCCCATACCCCCCATGTCTCCCCATAGCCCTCCATGCCCCCATAGCCCCCACAGCGCCAATAGCACCCCATAGCCCTTCATGCCCCCATAGCGCCAATAGCACCCCATAGCCCTCCCTATCCCCCATAGCGCCAATAGCACCCCATAGCCCTCCATGTCCCCCATAGCCCCCCATGGTGCCAATAGCACCCCATAGCCCTCCATGTCCCCATAGCCCCCATAGCGCCAATAGCACCCCATAGCCCTCCATGTCCCCCATAGCCCCCAGTGTCCCCCAAAGCCCCCATGTGCAGCTCAGCTCTAAGGTGTTTATTGATGCAGATAAATAGTGGACATTCGGCACCGCCACCGCTATGGGGCGCCCCACACCCCTGGGGGGACCCCTCGCCATGGGGCACCCGATGGGGGCGTCCCTCATTGAAGCCACCCCATTGGTTACATCTCCATTGAGGTCACCCCATTGGTGACATCCCATTGGTTACATCTCCATTGAGGTCACCCCATTGGTGACATCCCATTGGTTACATCTCCACTGGTGCCACCCCATTGGTTACATCTCCATTGGTGATATCGCCATTGGGGACACCCCACTGGTGACATCTCCATTGAGGTCACCCCATTGGTGACATCCCATTGGTTACATCTCCATTGGGGACACCCCATTGGTGACATCTCCATTGAGGTCACCCCATTGGTGACATCTCCATTGGGGACACCCCACTGGCTACATCTCCATTGAGGACACCCCATTGGTGCCACCCTATTGGACGTCCCCATTGAGGTCACCCCATTGGTGGCATCTCCACTGGTGACACCCCATTGGTTACATATCCGTTGAGGCCATCCCATTGGTGCCACCCCACTGGACGTCCCCATTCAAGCTACCCCATTGGTGACATTCCACTGGTGACATGCCATTGGTGGCACCCCATTGGTTACATCTCCATTGGTGACACCCCATTGGTTACATCTCCATTGGTGACATCCCATTGGTTACATCCCCATTGGTGACACCCCATTGGTTACATCTTCATTGGCGACACCCCATTGGCTACATGCCCATTAGGGCTACCCCATTGGTTAGATCTCCATTGGTGACACCCCATTGGTTATGTCTCCATTGGTGGCATCCCATTGGTTACATCTCCATTGGTGACACCCCATTGGTGACATCTCCACTGGGGACACCCCATTGGTGACACCCCATTGGTTACATCTCCATTGGGGACACCCCATTGGGGCCACCCCATTGGTGACATCTCCACTGGGGACACCCCATTGGTTACATGCCCATTGGTTACATCTCCATTGGTGCCACCCCATTGGTTACATCTCCACTGGTGCCACCCCACTGGTTACATCCCATTGGTTACACCTCCATTGGTGCCACCCCATTGGTTACGTCTCCATTGGTGCCATCCCATTGGTTACATCCCATTGATGACATCTCCACTGGGGACACCCCATTGGTTACGTCTCCATTGGTGCCACCCCATTGGTTACATCTCCATTGGTGCCACCCCATTGGTTACGTCTCCATTGGTGCCACCCTATGGGGTCACCCCCATTGAAGCCAGCCCACTGCTGCCACGCCGCAGCCCCCCCGCTCTAGCGCCCCCTGCTGGCCGGGCGGTCCCCCCGTTAATTTGCCTCTTTGTGTGGGTGGGGTTTCGCTGCTGGGGGCGGGGCCAAGGCGGATGAGGGGGGCGTGGTCAATGCAAAGGAGGCGGAGCCAGTGCTGAAGGAGGCGTGGCCAATAGGAAGGAGTGGAGCCAATGGTGAGAGGGGCGTGGCTAAAGGAGGGAGTGACTAAAGGGGAAGGAGGCGTGGCCATAGGGAAAGGGGGCGTGGCTAAAGGGGAAGGGGGCGGGGGCAGTCAGTAGCAAACGCGGCCATCAAAGTGCAAAGGGGGGGGAGGTGCGAAGGGGGCGGGGCTTGGACAAGGACCCCCACCCCCCGTGCAAGCCCCATTCATTGCAATGGGGGGGAGGGGCACTGCATGGGGGAGGGGTTGGGGGGGGCTGGGGACCCCCCCATAGGAAGACAGGAGGCCTCGCACGCCCCTTGGGGGGTGGAATGTGGCTGCCATAAGGTGCTATAGGGGGGTTGTGGGGGCTAAAATGGGGGGGGGCAATAGTCGGGGGGGGTCCCTTATTCCCCCCCCATCTATGGGGCAGGACCCTTTGTTATGGGGTAAGAGCCCCCTCATCTCCTATGGGTCCTCCCCTAAAACCGTTTATGGGGCAGGACCCCCAACTCACCCCAAGGGGCCCCCCATCTCCTATGGGTCCCCCTCGTTCATTCTACGGGGCCCCCCCACGCCCCTCTATGGGGCAGGGCGCTCCCCTCCCCCCCTCTTTGTGTCCCCTTCCCCCCTCGCTGCAGAGAAAGTGAAAGTGTGTGTGGGGGGAGGGGGGGCCGAGGGAAGGGGGGGGTCGGGGTCCCCCCTCCCCGCCCCCCTCCTCAGCAGAGCCAATGGCTGATCCTGGACGGGGTAACCCCCGCCCGTGCCGGGGGGCGGTGACGTCACCGTGACGTCACCCGTCCCCTGGGTGTCCCCCATCCGCCTGTTGTCACCCGCTGCCTCCTCGCCACCCATCGCAACACCCGCCGCCAACACCTCCTTGTCCCCGTCCCCACCCGCTGTCCCCTCTATGGGGCTGTACCCACCACCACCATTGTCACCCTCTTCCGCCTGTAGCTCCGCCTGATGCCTCTTGAGGTGCCGGCTGAGCGCGGCCGCCGTCCTGCACACCTTCACGCAGCGGCTACAGGCGAACCGCAGCGACGGCCTCCGCCCCACGCGGGCAACACCCGCACCCCCCCCTTTATCCCCCCCCACCTCCGGGTGTCCCCGCTGGTGCCGCCGCAGCTTCCGCAGCGCCGGGAAGCTCTTCCCGCACACCCCGCACGGGTGTTGCCACCCCCGGCGCCACGGCGGTGCCTTCACCCCATCGCCCGCACCGGTTCCCCCCCCCGTCACCGTCACCGCCTTCCGCTTGGCTTTGGGGCTGTACCCCCACAGCCGCTCCTCGGCGTCACCGTCACCGCCGCCTGTCTCGGGGGGGTGCAGGTGGCTCTCGGCGATGCTCCGCTTGACAACAGCCTCCTGCCCGATGCGCACGGTGATCTGGCACAGCCCCCCCAGCGGCCCCGCGCACGCCGGCTTGGCCACGTACGTCATGGTCCGGCTGTCGCAAGGCGCCGGTTGCGGTGTCGGTGTCGCCGTCACCGTCACCGCCGCCGCCTGTTGCGCCTCGATGTACTCCTTGAGCACTTGCTTCTTAATGGGCGGCACTACCGGTGTTGTTGGGCCCGGATGGGGGTACGCGCCGGTTGTAGTCGCGTTGTTGCGCA